TGAAACCGCGGAAGAACCGTTTGAACATCGAAAAGGAGGAGCAGCGAGTTGAAGGGAATAGCGACGTTTTAAGACCTTAAATTCTAGATTTATATCGTGCAACGCCAGGCAAAGCCAGACCTGGCACGATGACAGCTTTCGAATCGCTGGCAACCCTTCGGCCCATGGACGCGATTGGCTGTCTCTAGGGGTGGTGGGTGTGGCCCCCGCGGAAACCATCATCCCCGTCGGACGTCGAGACTTCACGGGATCCCCTCTACTTTTCCATCCCTCTGGAATGTGCAGCTTACCTAAACGAGTCCTCTCGACTCCCCAGGCGTTTTGGAGGGGATCGTTGGAACTTCCTCAAGGGGAAATACTGGGAGGGAGAGGGGTGACAAAAGAAGAGGGAGGTATCTGTGTCTAGGGACGGATAATCGGTCCGCATTACTGCCTCTATCTCTCTTTCTTTCTCTCTCTTTCTCTCTCTTTCTCTCTCACCTTTCCACCCGTTTTTCTCGTTCTCTTCCCTTCTATCTCTATTCTTGTCTCCGTTTATGGCTTTGTAAGGCTCTGCAATAACGCTTTGAACGGTGCCCGCCCTTTTTGGTAGAGAGGAAAATATGATGGAAATTCGCGTGTCATTCGACCAATAATTCCCTTCTTGTCAGATCTTTGTTCGACTCTTCGTACGTTAATATATGATACGTTAATATGTATATTGTACTCTCTCATTTAAGGTTGATGATTTTATTACCTTGTTATCTCGAAACATGAGAGTTATATAGAGGTACGATATAAAGGTAGATTACATGGAAGGGTTCTTTCGTCGGAACCCTTTTTTCTTTCAAAGATGAAGCCTCGTTCGCTGCTAGCCTGTTTTTGATAAGAATGATCCTTAATTTGTTGTACGAATGGACTTAATTGTCGACACGTTTAGCGTTTTTAACCATCGAAGTCGCGAAATATTATTCGTGATTTGTAGATTATATATTATTCCCGTGTTATCTATATGGTAACAGAGACGCGAAAGAGAATTAGAGAGAAATATAATACCAAGTTCGGAAAATATTAGTCAAATTCACACGAATGGAATGTTAAATTAACATTGACCGTGGAATCGGTCGTTGAAGTTATGGATAATGACAGTCGAATTAAATTCGCAAAGATATTTACGAGATATTTCGAACGAATGGATGGATCTATGCAGATTTTCCGACCTTCCCAGCACTTTGGATGTATTCAGGCTATCGTTGCATACCTACGAGGGTTCCCGGGTTGAATTCTCATCACGGGAAAACCCGTCGGGATTTCACGCGTCGGCTCGCATTACTGAATCCTACATCGAGTTACAGGGATTATAACGAGCCGAGATAGGCTCTAAGTTCTTTTCACTACAAAGTTTCATACAATCCTCATAACACGCAG